GTAGGCAATATGCCAATATTATGCCATTTTGTTAAGAGGACTTGAGAATCCTCAGGTTTTCTATGGGGGCTCCTGGAACCCAACCCCTGCAGGTACTGAGGGACAATTGACTTCCCTCTTCCTTTCCTTGCTTGCTGAGCCCTCATTTGCTGATGGAGATTTTGCACAGATGTCTCCGCTATGAGGCAGAAGGGGCCTTTCCTTCCCTGCACTTCCAAAGCATCCTTCTCCTTGCTCATCCCTAGAGCATGCAGCTCTGTATGACAAAGTGCTCTTCATGACCCTTTTCACCCTAAAATGAGGACTTCTGATGGTTCAGTACTCTCTGGCTTGTTTTCATCTTCCTCGATCCCAGCTCAGAAACTGGCCCAGAGAAGATGCTCAGAAAATGTGGGTTGATATTGAACTGCTATTCACAATCATGTTAACTCATATGTACATTAGGAAAGAGTGACATGCAGTGGAGGGGGAGGGGATGATTCAAGGACACAAGCTAATAAAATCAAGGTTATCCTGGGAATATTAAAGGCCTATAGTTTTTTTTTTTTTTTTTTTTTTTCCTGAAGAACACTTCAGGGTTAAGAAATTCAATTAGAAAATTCTAAAACATAATGAGTTTAGGCTTTCATTTTGGTGTGGATATTATGACATCGATGTTAGAGAATGAGTATAACAAGTTGTGGGTTTCAGGTATAAAATCTTCATGTGATGAGGAATGAAGAAATCTCACTTCTCCATGTCATGCTACTGTACTATGCCATGACATGAGATTGTACCCAAGGACACTCCTGGCCACATCCTCCAAACTGAGTAAAGCTGAGGAGTGGCACACCCTAGCCCACACCTTTTGCCAACTCTCTAATTGTCTTGTGATTCTTCTAGAAAAATGAAGGGGAATCTGATTTACTGTGATGGAGGAGACAAAAGTTTTATTCTTCTCTGTTCCTGGGAGAATGTATTGCCTGTACCTCCCTACTGTAGAGAGATTAGCTCATTTGAAGTTAGTGTAATTACAACATTGTGAAGGCGAGGTGCTTTGACTTCTGGTCACAGTAGATTGCAACAACAAAAATCTCTTGCCATGAAAACACCTCCAGGTCCCTTGCTTGAGTGGTTATGTGTGTCAGATTTACATGACAGACAAGAATGAGAATCGTGAAACATTTGCCCCCTAAGATGCTTCAGTGCTGTACACATGCACACACTTCCTGAGTAGGGCACTATTGGGTGCCAGGGCCTCTGGTACCTCCCTGGGGTGTTCTTCCCTACTAAGTGATGCTAGTAGGAAACTGTGTCAGGTTACAGCAGGGTGTCTGGCCAGCATGAGCCTCTCTTCTGGTGTCATGTTAATGATACAAAAGCAATGGAAAGTGACCCCTGTGGACATTCGTGTAAAATTCATTCATTTATTATTCCTGCAACAAAGCTTTGCTTTCAATCATTTCTAAATAGAGATGTTTGTTAATTGCTCATGTAGTGAACTAAAGATGAGTTTTTGCCCGAATGGTTTACTTCTTGCCCAATAGATGATGTGTGCATGATTTCAGAGGGAAGTGTTTAGTACATTCACAAAAAAGCACTATTTCTCAAACTTGTGAATATCAGTTTTCAAATGATAAAAAAAAATCAAAATCCAAGAGGGATGTAAGAAACAAGGGCTTATCTAATAATAGTGCACATTAACAGGACCTTTGCTGTGTTGGGTACTGTGCAAACACATTGTATGGTCATGTCAGTTAAACCTCTCAACAGGTTTAAGGGAGCATGTTCTGCTATCATTCCCACTTTTATAAATGGGAGAACAAAGGCAGCCAGAGGTTTAGTTAATCAGCTAATCATTGTGGTCCAGGGTGTATTTCAGGTAATCTGATACAAATAAGGAAGGAAGAAGGGTCTCAACTCTATAACTAACATTGCTTAATTATGTAAAATGAAAGTTTCAGGGTAGAACTGGGTAAAGGGTGTTTTGGTGTCCTTTATTCTCCATATCTGTCTATACTATAACTTCACAGCAAACCCCGTTTGAAGCACCTTTTGCATAGAATTAAAGAGTTTCCAGGGGTAAAATAACCAGTATAAATGATACCTGTTACTGATTTTCTACTTTCAGTGTTTGAGAAAGGCCCACTGGCTTGAGTTGTGTATATGTCTTTTCTTTACAAAACAGTTCCCCTTCAGATTCTTAATTTAATCTAACTTTTGCCCTTGTTATTTTATATTTGGAAATCTTACTTCCATATAGTCTGATTAAAGAAAAATTAGGCCAAAGTATTAATGATGAAAATTTTTAGCAATACACCTTAGCTAGTGGCCCCCAGAGATGTCCATATTTTAATTATTGGAACGTGCTAAGATCTTCCCTCACAAGGCAGGAGGGACTTTGCAAACGAACCTACATTAGAATCTTGAGATGGGGAGGTTGGACTGAATTATCCAGGGGGCTTTCAGTAATCACAGGATTCTCATGAGAGAGAGGGAGGGGAATTGAAGTCAGAGGAGATGTGGTTAGGGGAGCAGGGTGATGTGACCACAAATCAAAAAATGTAAGCAGCCTCTAGAAACTAGAAAAAGTGAGGAAGAGATTTCTCTGGGACTCTCGAGAAGGAACCCAGCCTTGTCAACACCTTGAATTTAGCCTTGGGAAAATGATTTTTGGTTTCTGACTTCTGGAGGTAGAAGGTGATAAATCTGTGTTCTAAACAACTTACATTGGTGGTTGTTTCTTCCAGCAGTCAGAGGAAATGAACACAGGCTTGTGCCCAAGAATGGATGATTCAGGGTATGTCAGGGAAAGGAAGACCCCTCCCATCACAGACCACTGGGCTCACCAAGAATGTGGGCAGGGTGGGAGTTAAGTAGTCCTGCATGGGCACTGGTTTGCAAGCAGATTGCCTGCTGTACACCCTGGCACCACCATTTATGAGCTGTGTAATCTTGAGTAACTGAACCTCTGTCTGCCTTTGTTCTCCCATTTATGAAAATGAGCATGATAATAGAACTTGCCTTGTAAACTTGCTATGAGGTTTAACTGACATAATCCATACAAAGTGTTTGCACAAAACCTTGGCACATAGTAAAGGTGCTGTAAACATGGACTATTATTAGATAACTCCTCAGCTATGCAAAGGCTTTACTGAGAGAGAGAGAGTGTGTGTGTATGTGTGTGTGTGTGTGTGTGTGTGTGTGTGTGTGAGAGAGAGAGAGAGAGAGAGAGAGAGAGAGAGTGTGTCTGCTGAAATTTACTAGCACATTTAATAAGGCCACTCTTTCTGTTGGGAAATCACATAAATGATGCTTTCTCTACTCACATAAGGCTAAAAAGAAACACCTACTTGTTCTGGAGGCAGCGACATTGTGGCTAAAGTCGTGGTCCTTGCATTGGTAGAATCTGTTTGTTTTAATAGGGGGCACAAGAATAAACACACCTACTTTCTATGCAAGGAACAGGTCTGTTTTTGGCAGTGAAACAAATTTGTGGTTGCCCTAACACAGAGGACCCTAAGGTCCACCTCCTTCTGCCTGTTTTGATGCTCAAGGTAGGCAGAGCTCCTTAAAGTATCAGATATATTCTTGGGATAAGGGGGACCAGGAGGCGGGGCAGAGAAAGGAGGTGCATGCAGGGTTACTGTGGCTCTTGAGTTGTGGGAATGTGGAAACCTCCAGAGATCATGACTGGCAGCTGGTTGTCACTGTGTGAAAGGTGGGGTGGCTCACTTTCCTTCCGTCTTCCTCTTTCATTTTACAGCACCTTCACACAATGAAGTCCTTTTGATGCTTTATAGTATCTACTATAGGTGTCTTAGATGGAACCTAGTGTGAGTTGTCACCCAGCTCATACTAAATTTCCTTCTGCGGATGGCATCTGAGTTGGTCAGGGTGATAAAGTGGATAGGGAGGAGGCCAGGTATGCAGAAGGCAAGAAGGTGACCAAGATCAAGGGCACATTTGGCAAATTCCAGACAGCTGAGGCATGTGGTGAGCATCAGGCTTGGGGCTGTCCACCAAAGACAGTGTGTGAAGAGCATGGGGTATCCAACTTAGGACTGGGGACTGGATCTTTTTCCAGAGTGTGCAAAGGCTCCACATCGAAATAGACAGTATGAGAGTGGAATAAAGATCCCCAAGTTCAGGGCTGGGGATGTGGCTCAAGCGGTAGTGCGCTCACCTGGCATGCATGCAGCCCAGGTTCGATCCTCAGCACCACATACAAACAAAGATGTGGTGTCCGCCGAAAACTGAAAAAAAGAAATAAATATTTAAAAAAATTCTCTCTCTCTCTCTTTCTAAAAAAAAAAAAAAAAGATCCCCAAGTATTGGAACCAAATGCTGGGGGGAAAAAAGCAAAATAATTTCTTTCCTTTAGGAATTCCCAGAGCCTATTAGACATTTTGAATCTCACAGTAGTAGATATAATAGATAACACAGAAATGAGACCCAAAACTTTGGTGTTGGGATTTAAAAAAAAATGTGAGTCCAAGAGATATTCAGGTTGAAGAATAAAAAACAACAGGAACCCAATCATATGAGGAGGTGTGCAGAAGAGAAGGCCAGTGAGACTCCAACTGCAAGTTTGGGATCTTATGCAATAGTTTAGGACTTTGGATAATAGAGGAATAGAGTTTAAGAGAAGAAATTGTTATTATAGGAAAATAATGGGTTTCAGATTTATTTTGAACTTGTTTCATTTGAGGCTTAAAAGGAGAGATGCTGATGTGCTGATGCTTAAGGACCTTTGGAAGTGTGTATTTGGGTGAGGAGTCTGAGGTGATGAGCAAACTGGACGGAGCAGGATGGTTCCAGTCCTGGTATTAATGAACATTTCTAAGGATCATCATATTTACAAAGTTCATATGCAAATCACATTCACTTATAAAAATCAATGAGTGATCCTGTGGTCATGGGTAGAGGGTCAAATGCTAATTCAGCTCTCTGGTGTCCACTCTGGTATGTGGATTAGGATCCTTGTCATTTCTAAACAGAAGCTGTATCCTCTCATTTAGAATCACAGCTTGCGCCATGACGATGAATAAGTATGTGGAAGAAAATGTATCTCAAAAGTCCTACACGACCATCAAGTATTTCATGAAGATGCTGAGCAGTGTCAGCGAGACCTTGATCTTCATCTTCATGGGCGTGTCCACGGTTGGGAAGAACCATGAGTGGAACTGGGCCTTTGTCTGCTTCACCCTGGCCTTCTGTCTGATCTGGCGAGCGCTGGGTAATGAGCACTTGTTTGCTCTACAAACATCCAAGGACACTGACACAATGGGGCTTTCTTCTGGTCCCTCCCTGTGTGCTACAGCTGTGGCTTCATCTTCTTTGTTTCCTCTCCTTCCTTATATACTGCTGTCTACTCCTCTTTCTTCTCCTCCTCCTCCTCCTCTTCTCCCCCCTCATCTCCATTATCTTCTCTCTCTCTTCTTCTCCTTTATCCTCCTTCCTCTTTCTTTTCTTTTTTCTTCTCTTCCTCTTGTTTCTCTTCCTTCCTCCTCTTCTTCTCCTTTCTCATCTCCTTCCTCATCTCTTTCTTCCTCTCCTCCTCTCTCCTCTCCTCCTTCCTTGTACATTCTTTTCTTCCCCAAGTAACTTCATGGCTTTGCTGTAAGTCAAATTCGTCTCCCTTGGCTTCTGTGATTCCACATTTCCCCCTCTTCACCTGGAGTGATAAGAGCAGAGCCAAGAACCTAGGAGTGCTCCTCAGACAGGAAAAGGGGAAAGGCCTTGAGGCTGATTCTTAAATACTTGGTTCTGTCACAGACACAGAAAACAAGCCAAGTCCACACACTGGCACATCCTGACCTCACTCCAATTCCTTTTGGGTTGTCTTTCTTCGTAGGTGTCTTTGTCCTAACTCAGGTCATTAACTGGTTCCGGACCATTCCCCTGACCTTCAAGGATCAGTTCATCATTGCCTATGGAGGGCTCCGAGGCGCCATCTGCTTTGCTCTGGTGTTTCTCCTCCCGGCCGCTGTGTTCCCCCGGAAGAAGCTGTTCATCACAGCTGCCATTGTGGTCATATTCTTCACTGTCTTCATCCTGGTGAGTCCAGTGCTTTCTTCCAAAAAGAGAAAAAAAAATCTCTCCCTTTGCAAAGTGTGTTGAGGCTTTGGTGATCATGTTAGGAGGGAAAATGATATTTCCCATCTGGGTTCATATCACCGGATGGTCCAGGGGAGTGACGAGAGTCCAATTTGGTCACTTGGCCTTCACAGAAGAATGGTTATTTAAGGAAACTCAGCTAAGTGAGCTCAGTTTACTACTGGAAACTTAGGAACTGCACTTCCTAATCCCAGTCATTTGCTTTACTTCTGACCTAGTAAATTACCCCTCAGATGCTGGTTGTGCATGGTGACCTTCCAACAGCTATTGGACAGGAGTTGATTGCTGCTCACTGCTTCTCCCAAGACAGAGAACTGGGTGAATGTGAGTTTAACGCTGGGAACAACCAGTGTGCTGGGCCTGTGTCCTGGGCCTGACCTTATGAGTTCATCAATATGCCAGCTCTCAGGAGATTATATTTTGCAGCTACTTATTCAGTCAGTATTTATTAGTTTCTGACTGTGTGCCCTGCAGTGCTCTGGGAGCTTAGGATCTGCCCATGAGCAAGGTGTAAGAAAATCCTATCCCTGAAGAACTTATGTCCCTGGTATAAGCTGAAGAAGATTCTGGAGTCCCGGATCACTCAGGGCTGCTAGGGTCACTCTAACTTCCGTGGCCCTTCTCTGGAAGCCATTGGGTGGTACTATGCAGAAGTTGGTGTGTTTTGACTAATTTTGTAAACACTAATTTTGTGTTGAGAGTAGTCTACCAAGAGGAAAGGGTAGACGTGGGAGATCCATGGTGGAGGCCAAGTCAGACATCAGGCAGGCCCTGGTGGTGGCAAGAGAGCTGGTGAGAAGTGGTGATGTCTTAGAATGTGTTCTGGAGATGGACACTGCCAAGTACCCTCATGGACTGTTGTGGGAGTGAGGGAAGGAGAAGGCTGACTTCAGGAGTGTGGCCTGAGGAATTAGAAGGATGGTCTTGCTCAGGTGAGAAGGGGAAGAGACAGTAGCAGCAGGTTTCTGGTTCAGTTATGGGCATGCTGGGTTAGGGGTGTCTGAGAGTCCTACCAGTGGACATGCTGAATGGGCAAAGCTTAGGGAAGAGATCAGTCATTAGCAGATGGGATTTGAAGCCACGAGACTCGATGTGATTGTCAAGAAAGTGAAAATGTATGTTGAAGAGACCATAAAAGAAGGATAAGGATTGGTCCCTGAGATGGCCCAACCTTAAGACACTGGGGAGAAGAGGGAAGCCGATAAGCAGACTGACTCCAAGCCATCTTTGAGGAAGGAGGAAAGGCACACTTTTTTTCTTTTTTACTTTTATTTTTGTTACCTTTCCTTTTTACTTTTATTAATAGTCACAGAATGCCTCCTAGGTGCCTATGTCAGACTTAAGCATCTTACATATTAACCCGTTTAACCTTTGTAGCAATTCCATAGTGTGTCACTCTGGGAGCTCATTATCCCTAGTTTGTAGAGTGGGACGTTGAAACTGAGGTCATGTTATCTTGCCAACTTTACATAGTCAGTAGAAAGCAGAGCAGTCACTAGAAGAAAAAGCAGTTTGTTTTTTAACCCTAAAGGAAGTGCCTGCTGGAGAGTCTGCTGTGTAGTACATGCTCAATATGGTAACACGTCATGGCTCCCCCTTCCCGTTAGTCAGTTCTCCAAAAGCAAGTCCATACTTCATTGACTCCTACCTCTCAACAGTGAGCAAGCACAGTGAGCCTCATGAGTCCTGGGGAAGGATCCCTGGGGAGACCCTTGCCTGAGTTAAGAAGATAACCGCTTTCCATTACTGTCCCTGACATTCACACCTTTGTGGTGCTGGGTCCTTCAGTGACTGGGTGGCAGGCTCTCAGACGAGATTCTCTTGTGTGCACATCTCAGTTCATCCTCAAAAATTCTCTGAGGTGGAGACGAGTGTTACCTCCTGCTAAGCAAGCTGTCTTCCAGACAGAAACAGACTGACCCCAGCACTCACATTGTAAATGACTTACAGGCTTAAAGTAGGGCCCAGGATTCGCTGCATAGACCAGGTTCTTTACTCTTTAGTGCCATTACTGAGAGAAGACAGCACTTACCAGGTGATGGTGAATAGTATATGAGTCAGTGAATGATGGAAACACACTCTGAGAAAGGCAATGTTAGGATATTTCATCTATGAAGTTCGATGATGTTCACACAAACCCAGATGGTCCTGCCTCTTATACACCAAGGCCATGTGGTATTACATATTTTAATTTCAAAACATTTTTGTTAAACTAAAACACAAACACACCCATCTGCTTGGGCTTACACAAGTTCAGGATCATCAATATCATTGTCTCCCACCTGTACATCTTGTCCCACTGGAAGGTCTTCAGGGGTAATACCCCACATGGAGCTGTGACCTTCTGTGGTAACGCAGGCCTTCTTCTACAATCCCCCCTGAAGGACCTGCCTGAGGCTGTTTTATACTTAACTTTTTTTCAAAAAAGCAGAAGGGGTGTATTCTAAAATAATGATAAAAGGTATAGTGTAGAAAATAAGTAAACCAGTGGCAGTTGTTTATTCTTATCAAGTACCATGTGTGGCACTGAGCATGGGTGTAGGTGCCATGTTACCTATGATTCGTAGCGCAGTAGGTTTGTTGACACCACCATCAAACACATGAGTAGTGGCTGAGCTATGATGTCACGACTGCTATGTTATCCCTGGAACAGGAATAGTTCAGCTCCATGGTAATCTTATAGAGCAACTCTTACATATTTGACCTGTTGTGGACCAAATGTTCTGTGGCACTGACTGTAGTTTCATCTATTGTTATGTGTAATTATTTTTGTTCAAATCTCCCAGAGTGGTTGGAATCCTCTCCCTAAACTCATGAAATACCATGGAGCCTTTCTGCGTATCCAAGGGAGACGCACTCCTTGTCTTCATCTTTTATCTTCAAAGTTCATAGGACCTTTGTAACAGGCCATCCAACTTGCTACTCTCACATCTTGCCAGAGGCAGGATTGTGAAGGAATCCATTTTTCTTTGAGTATTTTAATCCTCCTTAATAGCATGCCTGAAGGGAAAGACCCCTCAGGAGCGACTGACCACCTCCTCTTCCTAGATCTGCTGCCTCTGTGCACAGTGAGTCCAGCAAGGTATTCAGGGCTTCGGGTCTCTTCTCCATCCTCACAAACCAAGACTGTCAAATACCAGTACCAAATGCAAAAATAGAATCATGTCAGTCTAGTGAGACTGGAACTCAGTCAAGGGGAGGTCAAGCCATGGTCATCTACACGAGTGCTTTTCCTATGCCTGCAGTGCAAAACTAGTCCTCCTATCCCCATCATTGTGGCCTTAGACATTCGGAAAATATGACAAATGTGACTTCAGAGAAAGATAGAATTCAAGACAGGACAATAAAGCATAGGAGCTTAAATTTTTTAGTTAGGTTTATTAGACATAAGTTATGTTTTTATAATCAGAAAAAAATATTGCATAAGGAAAACAGTATTGCAAAATGTGTAATATTATTTATGAAATGTGTATACAGTGATTAATGTAGGGTGTCACTGTTATACTCCTGATTTTTTGCCTATTTGGATTTGGGTGTTAAACAGAAATATAGGTGAAATACTGCTTGCCCATATTACATTTCTGTATACCCACTTTGAACGAATGCCATATTTATTTATATTTAAGTATTAATGTGATAAATAAGCTTAGTTTTAAAATAACTAACCTAATAGAGGTGATGTTTCTTTGTTGATATCATCACCAACTAATAACAAATAGTTTGAAGACCAGTGCTCTCCATGGAATAGCATCAATTAGCAGACCGTGCTTCAGGTAGGATTGGTCTAAACTTTTATGTGCACTGTGCACTGGACTGGTTGCTGATACTCAAAAGAAACATGCGAAATTTCTGCTGTCAAGGACATAATGTATTGGGCATGTAGATCAGGTTTGCAAATGCCTTCCTGTGGAGGTGATGATTAATCTGAGATATGAAAGATATGGAGTCAACTAGGACCTGAGCCAAGAGCATTCCAGGCAGAAGGAAGAGCTGACACAAAGCTCTAGCATGGAAAACTCATGGAATAGACATAAGGAACCAACCGAGTAGTGAGCGAGTACAACTGAAATCCAGAGGAAGGCATGCATTACTGAGCGTTGGAGGGTGAGGTGGGCAATGTGGTTTTAATTGAGGAGTGATGAGAAAGATTGGAAGCAGGAGAGTGACATGTTTTAAAAAGATACCACTGGCTGTTTGATGAGAGAATGCATTAATTATAGGAGACAAAAATAGAAGCAGTGAGACTAACTGGGGTGGCTTGCACGGTGGTAGTACAGGTGAGAAATGATGATGATTTGGCCTTCTGTAGTCGTGAGAGAGACGGAAAGAAGTAGATGAGTTCCTGTTTGTCTTGGAAGAATCAAGGATAACCCTAAACGTAATCTGTAACTCTTATACCATGCAGAAAGCCTAGGGCATGTGGGAGGAGGGACAGTGGGAAGTGAGAAGCCAGGGAGTTCATGGGAGATGGTCCACCTGCTCCCAGTGATGTGGGAACCTGGTCTTCTCCAAGTATAGAGAGGAGAGGAGGAGGTAGAAAGGAAGAGAAGGATGAAGGTGGGGAAAGGCCCTCACAGAAAAATAGAAGGGATGGTTGAGCTGTATTGGCTGGATTCGGTATTGTGAACAGGTCAAGTTAATCCTTCAGAGGTGGAACAATTTGAAGGTCAGTGTTTGGAGCTTACATATGTGCTCATGTGTCTTTCCTTTGATTGGGTGGAAGGATTGCTCAACCAAACTCATTTTGATGTCCAGGGAAAAGAGAAATGGCTTAGTTCCACATACACCGGAAGCTTTGCTTAGACATGTGCGCGCACACACACACAAATATACACATTTTACCCTCCAGAACACATCAATAATTAAGGAACTCAGTGAAAGAAGCTGGAGGGAAATAATAGATTACCGATATGGTAAGAATAACTAATTATAAATCCATA